CCTCCATCTTCTCAGAAACTTTTCAAGCATAATCTGGAGAGCTCCTGGTCCCTTCTCCTTGTTTTCCTTTTCCTCCCTGGGTTTCCTTCCTACCTTCCTTCCTTCCTTCCTTCCTTCCTTCCTTTTTAAAAACCCAAAGCATGCTCTTCCAAGCTGAAGGTGGCTGCTTCTCCCTTTCCTTCCTTGCTGCTTTCTTTGGAGATGCTTGGGATTTTCTTCCTTCCTTCCTTCCTTCCTTCCTTTCTTATTATTGCTCATTATTCCTAGCAATCCTTGAGACTTTGGGGAAAATTGCAATAGTGGTCTGAATCCTAGGGTTTGCTCCATCTAGAAAACTATAAATCCATCTGAGAAAACTATAAATCCTTTTGGTTGGTGGTATTTACTCATGGGTTGATTTATTCTTTCAACAGTTTCCATTATTCTCCCACCTGTTTGGAAGGATTGCTCAGAGTATTTGCTAGTAGTTCCACACTGCAGAATTAATGCGGTTTGACAACACTATAACTATAGTGGTTCCAACCTATGGAAGCCTGGGATTTATAGTTTTCTCAGATGCTAAGAATCCTCTACCAAGGAACTCTAAGGCTGCTGCCCTCACTACAGAATGAATGCAGTTTGACACCGCTTTAACTGCCATGGCGCCCTCCTATCGAATTCTGGAATTCATAGTTTTCTTAGGCACTAAGAATTCCCTACTAGGGAGCTTTAAGGTTGCCCCCCCCCCGGCAGAATTAATGAAGTTTGACACCGCTTTAACTGCCATGGCTCCATCCTATGGAGGTCTGGGATTTGTAGTTTTCTTAAAGATTTAGCATTTTCCATTAGGGAGTTCTAAGGCTGCTGTCTCCGCTGCAGAAGTAGTGCAGTTTGACACTGATTTAACAACCATGGCTGCATGCTATGGAATCCTGGGATTTGTAGTTTGTTGACACCCAGCGTGGCCTAGTGGTTTGATTGTTGGACTACACCTCTGGAGACCAGGGTTCGAATCCCAGCTCAGCCATGTAAATCCAATGCATGATCTAGGACAAGTCACACTCTCTCAGCCTCAGAGGATGGCAATGGCAAACCCTCTGTGAAGAAACTTGCCAAGAAAACTCCATGATAGGGTTTGCTTTAGGGTTGCCATAAGTCAGAAATGATTTGAAGGCACACAACAACAACAAGTGGCACCAGAGCTCTTTGCACAGAGAAGGCTAAATAGCTCACCAAACTACAAATCCCAGGATTTCATAGCATGGAGCCATGGCAGTTCAAACAGTATTGAACTGCATTAATTCTGCAGTGTGGACACTTGAGATCTTTTTTAACCCCGCCAGCCCAAATACACTTGCAAGTGAAAAACTTTACCACTTAATGACCAATAGATGTATGTGGATTTTGGATGTTGTTGTATTTTGCTGTATGGCCAACACAACTACTTTAGATACGTTTTACAACAGGTCTTACTTCTGCACTCTTTAATTTCTCTTTTTCTTAGAATATTCCTTTAACTTGGCTTGGTTGCTGCATTGCTACAGGAGGAGGCGGTTTGCAAAAGAAAAGACTGCAAAAGAGTTCTTGCAAAAGTTAAAAGAGAGAGAGAGAAAGCAAAGAATTGTGTTGTTGTGGTTGTTGTTGTTTAACAATGCCGAATCTAGCCTGACATGATGGTGTTGGAGGAATTTAAACAAAAGTTGCACGCTGTGCGCCAGATCTGGTTGTCATGTAAACAATCCGAAAACGGGAGGCAGAGGAGCACATT